ATGCAGGGATGGATTGAGTTTCAGTTCCTCTCAGAGACCAAAGCTGCCTACATAGGAGGGTCGGCCATGACAGTTGGCAGTGACTTCAGCTTTTGGGGCAGAACTGGATACCGTAATTTGGATGTGCTGTAAACACTCTGAAATTAGAGCCAGACCGACTCTCCCTTTTGAAATACGTCCATGGGAAAACTGGGCATTTTGGCTGCAAACGCTCGGCCGCGACCATAACACGGAATCCTCGCTGCTCTGATTGAATGTAACATGTTTATCACTGCTTACATAAACTGGTGGAAAGAATGTGCTTGGCTGGATCTTGACATGTGTGTGTGAGTGTGTGTGGTGCACAGGCCTGAGAACAGGTACTGGTGTCACTGCAGGAAACCTTGGTCTTAACTTCAGATTCTGCAGGATGTGGAGGCTGAAGCTGCTGATCATCTGTGTTGATTATCTCTTTATATCCGTGTGTGTGGTTGTGTGTTGTGTTTCTCATGTTCCAGTGTGTTGACATCCACTGATTAGCTCTGGCAACACCACTAAGTAAATGCAGATTAGTCCAGCAGGATGGTTTCCTGGTCCAGATCTTTCCAGCCCCGGTGCCAACACTTGGCAGATTGATGCAGCACCTGAGGAGGTTTGAGGTCCAACACCACAGTCAGACCTGAGGCCTGAGAATGTGCTGCAGCAGCAGGCTTCAAGTCTGTGTTTCAGTCCACTTCCCTGGTCCAGTTAGTGGACAAAAGAATCAGTTCTTCCTCCACCGTGGAGGCTGAGCCACAGTGAAGATGATGAAGATGAGATGATGAAGATGTAGCTGAAATCAGACCACAGACATTTGATCTTCTTCCTGTTCCTCACGTTCTCCCTGAGCCACTTTGATCCTGTTCTTCCGCTCCTGATCTCAGGTCTGAATTGATTTGCAGCTCGAACTGTTTCATGTCTGCGCCAACCTTCGATTTATTCGCCATGTGGATGAAGTCATTTCCTGTCTGGCCGACTCTCAGCCTTCACACCTCTGAAGGGGGAGGCGTAGGGGGGAGAAAAGCTGTTTGTTGGCTCAGTGTTCCAGGTTTGTAGACTTGAGAGCGACGGAGGTTGTAGGATTAAATCCTAGACGTACGTGTGCATATGCATGAGTCTGGGAACAGCCTGGAGGCCTTCAGTCCCTGACTGGACCAGGACTCAGCGGCTCCACACTGTCCAGCCGCTGTGACGACCTGAGCTGAGATTCCCTCGAGGTCACTGTAGCTGTGTCTGTAGTTCTGTCTGTAGCTGTGACAGGAGTCTGATTCCAGGACCTGCTCTCTTCTCTCTTCCCTCCCTCCCTCTCTGGGACTATCACACTGCCTCATCAGCCTCTCTTCCGACCGCAGCCTCATCGGTCACAGCCTGCGCTCACTTCCGGAGGTCAGGTATCCTGAGACAACCTGAGGTCAACGGTGTCTGCAAACTGAAGCTGGGAAAACCCGATCTTAACCCATTACTGTGTTCTGGGAATCAGCACCAATCAGTTTATCGGAACATGGCCAGGTCTGGTTCTGGTTCTGGTTCTGGCTCTGAGTCACTGTGTTGGAGACTGATCCAGGATTGTTGATGTGTGTGTGAAACAGTTACAACGATGACATCATCTGTTTCAGGACATTTGATCCTAAACCTTTTACTCTGTGACTCTGTTACCTCTACTGTGACCTGTGAACACACACTGCACAGATTTCTTTCTGGATTTGGAAAAAGAATATTCCCTGAGCATTCCCATCTCAGTGACCCACATCTGGGATAAAGGATCTAGACCACAAACTGAAACCAGAAATGTTGCTCTGTTGGTTCAGTGTCGGCAGAAGAAAAATAAATCCAAATATTAATAATGTGATAATTGAAAAATGATATGTGAGTCAATTATAATAAATTATTATAAACATATATTTCTTTATATTTACGGTTGTTTAACTCTTGTCTGACACAGTGGTGTCGAAGATGAAACCAGAGGAACAACAGTTCTGGGTTCAGACAGGAATCTGTGGCTGGAGTTCCAGCAAACACAAATGTGAAGAAGTGGAACTCTGTAGTTCTGTGTCCACTGCTTCCTCTCACACAGGCTTTAATCTGACCTTTTTTTCTGAACTCCATGTCAGTGGAGATGATTTGCCGTCAGGCTCTGGTTCTGTACAAACGAGCACAGATCTTTTGATCTGGCGTTATAGACTTGGCTGCTCTGAAGATTCTGGCTCCAGCTCTGGGCCGTGTTCTTGTGTCTGAGCGTCTGGACTCAGTGTGTGCCGTTAAAAAGATTCAGAACCTGTTTTGCTTCATGTCTCTGGTTCTTCTGGCATCATTAAAGGAAAAGCAGTGGTTCTCCAACCAACGAACTCTGGGAACACAGACAGATCAGTGTCAGGTTGTTGTTGTTGCTGTGTGAGTGTTGTCTCTGACATGGCTTTGTGTTCTGGACCACGGGTCAGCTTATCACACAGCTGCTAATAATCAATGTGTTATGGTTGTTGGTTCTAGTTGTTGTTGTCGTGGTTGTAGTTGTGGTTGTTGTTGTTGTGGTTGTAGTTGTCACTCAGATCTTGTTCAGTATGAGACACAAACCCATTTCATTCTGGTGACCTAGTTTAGACGTTGTCATGAACTTGTCTTTTTTCCCTTTTACTACCAAATACTAAAGTTCTTTGGCGCCCCCTATTGGGCACACCTAAAGGACTTGTTACAGTTCTAATCCAGATGTGGTTCCACTTTGTGATCTACTGTCCCACATTGTTCCAGTCAAACATACTTGTTGTCCCACAGTTTATTGACTGGGAACCGGTAACACTTAGTCTATGTAGTCAGTGTGTGTGTGTGTGTGTGTGTGTGTGTGTGTGTGTGTGTTGAACTGACTAATAACAGGACTGTAACACAGTGGTTTCACAGCTATTTAATTACATCTCACTTCATCCTATTATATTACAGTAAATATTGAAACACTTGGTTTGTGTGGTGATGAGTCTGCACTTTTATTTCCAGGACACACACACACACACACACACACACTCCTGCTGGGAACATTACCTGGTAAACACACCCGTCCTCAGTCATCGCTCCAACATTTCTGACAGATGACTGTGGTGCAGTTGCAAAAGTCTTGAATTTCCCTCAGATGATGAGTAAGAACTTGGATGTTGTTGTGACTGGAGGGGAAAAAGAAGAAGAAGAAGAAGAAGAAGAAGAAGCCGCACGTGTTCACTCTTCTGTACTGACTTCAGTATCGTCCTCTCTTCCTGCTGGGACACATTCTGCCCCTGGTCCAAGAAATTAAGGAGAGTTTGATTTTACAGGAACCTGTGCCCTGTGGTTCCACCGTGGTTCCGCCGGCACGTCTTAAAGAGCGCGCTCCTCAGTGTCGGGGTGTTTTGATTCCTGTCATGAGCGTGGCTAATTGTTTCCTCCTGCTTCCAGGTTTAAACTAACCACATCCTGACTGCTGCTCCGTCACATTCACCATGATTTTCATCTGACTCTCGGACAGAACCAAATGTTCTGTTTGGGCACAGGAGCCTGAGCGGGGCAGAGTGGCCGGGGCAGTTTGGTTTGGCTCCTCTGCAGGGTAAACTCAGTGTGTCCTTCGCTTTAATTAGCTCCTGGGGATATTTTTAGTGGCCCTCTTGATGAGTTAATTAGGTTTACAAATGATGATTTTTAACCGTGGACCGTGGCGGTACAATAAACACAATCAGACGTTCCGCCTGCAGAATTGCATTATGGGCTTGGCAGTGCCAGAGAGCCGGGACTGGAAAATGTCAGGCTTGCTGGCATCAAGGAGCTCCAGTTACCGGGAAAAGTTAGGGAAAAAAGTTTAGCTCTGCCAGTCTGGAGTGTGCACACACAAATACACACACACACACACACACACAATCACATGCAAACATCCAATTACACTGCTGTTCCTTCAGAGCGGTGTTTTTTTTTAAGCCCTCTCGGCACAGAGATGGAGCGGAGGCTGGAAACCTTGTGCCACGTTGCCATGGAAACACAACAGGAGCCACGGCTGCGTGTGAACGGAGAGAGATGTGGGACAGGGGACATCGGAAAATCACTCGTGTGGATTCTCCAGCCTGGAGTCTGGGAACCTGAGTGTCATGAAGGCACGTCCTGATTAAAAACAACCACCGGGGCAGGAGGGAAGAGGGAGGAAGAGGAAGAGGGGGACGGTGAAGGCTGCAGCAACACGCAACATTTTTCTTCGTCTTTTTCCAGTTTTGAATTTTTGCTACATGGTGGAAAAACTCCCAGAATTAAACTGACTTCGTGAACACGTTATTATTATTATTGTTGTTGCTAATAATACCAATAATATATTGTTGTTTTTATTGCTTGAGTGAAGTGTTTGTGTGTCTTTCAGCACGTGTTTTCTTGTTATATCCTCTCTGCGTCTTTATTTATGAACCCCTGTCTCTGTGGAGTCACTTTCTCCTCCTGTTTGAGCCCCCCCCCCCCCTCTCTCTCTCTGACTGGATCAGCTGAAAGGGAGGGCTCAGGTGGAGTGATAGCGCCCCCTGTGGTTAAAATACTGTCTCAAACTGGAAAAGTAAAATAGGGAGATTTTAATTTCCCTGATGTTTATTTTAGTTGTTAGAGGATTTCTTTTAGTGATACTTTGACTTTAGGTCTGGGATCAAGTGGACACAGTGTAAAGGCACAGCAGCACACACACACACACACACACACACACAGTCTCCTGTCTCACATTCTTGACATGACTTCTACATGGTAAAAAAAGAAACTCTCCTCCCCCTCCTCGGGGGGGCTCATGTCCACTGCAGTGGTCTTCACTCTGTCACTCTGTTCACAGACGACAGCAGATTTAGACTTTGATTTTTGATTTTCTCCTGGACTCGGCTGTTCTCCTTCTGCTAACCCCTACCATGTCAGAGTAGATGTGGGGCTGCAGGGCCCCAGTGGAGGAGGTGCTGCCCCTCACCATGTCTAACTGTACTTTCCGTGGTTATCGCACCATCTCGCAGCACCTGAACGACCTGAAGAAGGAGAACTTCAGCCTGAAGCTCAGGATCTACTTCCTGGAGGAGAAGATCCAGCAGAAGTTTGAGGAGAGCAGCGATGACGTGCACAAGCGGGTAAGTGAATGGAGGAGTGAATGGGGGGGTGAATGGGGGGGTGAATGGGGGGGTGAATGGGGGGGTGAATGGAGGCTTGAGTCCTGCAGCTGGACAGTTGAGTGTGTTTTTATTCCCAGTCTATTTCTGCAGTACAGTCCTTCCTCACAGTGAGAGGAAAACTGAGGAGGTGATGAACCTCAAACTGAAGTCAAAGTCAAATTTAACCCAGTAAATAGAATCAAATATATGGTGGATGTGTGTGTGGGACCCTACAGTCTGACCTCTGACCTACACCAACGTTTCATCCCAGTGTGTTTACGTGAATTGCTGCAAACTGGAAACTGAATGTATGTAGAGAATCACAGACCTGCTGTGATTCAGTGAGTCAGTGACCTGGTCTGCTGGAGCTCACTGACACACTGATCCACTGACACCTGATCCACTGTGGTCAGAGAGCTGCACGTGAACGACTCAGGAAGCAGCAGCAGCCAGTCGTGTTCAGTTAGTTACTGCTCTCAGAGCCAGGGGGTAAAAGTGGTGGTGGTGTTGCTGGGGGCTCCTGTTGGGG